TAAAAAATTATACATCTGTGTTTAAATACGGTAATAATTCATCTGCCTTTGTCAAAATAAGATTTAAAGATTCAAACAGTAAATTTAACTAAAACAAAATAAAAAATACGTATTTACACTTACCAATTTCCAGTGCCGACTGTGAGTATTGTTTTTTTTGTTGAACTTTTGATAATTTTGTGAGATTTCAATATTCTAGTTGATGGAAGAAAAAATTTCTTTTTTACTGTATTGGAGAAACTGATATGCAAAATTGATTTTGAAATTTACGTATGGAAGTGATTGAATTTATTTAAACTTTTAAGGGTATTATTGTCTTTCAAAGAATTAACATATTTTTGTAATTGTGGAATATAAATAAGGGCACATTTATCTTTTTCAATAGAAGAGATCAATGTGGTGAATGCTAAAAAAAAATTGGTCAAAATGCAAAATTTGTTTTTTCACTAAACCAATTTAAAAAGTACCCCAACAAGTTGTCTCCATCAACATTAATGTTGAGGCAATAGAACAAAGCGAGAGTGTAAACCACAGACTGCCGGGTACAGGGTAGCTCAACAGCCTTCATCGGAGATTGTAGCAAAATAATGGGTCGTTAACACAGCCTTACAATGAGAAAATTTTCGAGTCGAGCCTTTGATCGAGCATCTTGAATACAAAGTTGCGTTTTTATTTCTTGGGAAGAACTAACAATTCAACAAGAAGTTCGAGGCGAAGGTGGCTTCTGCTGGTGGTGCAAGATTGAAGATTTAAACTGGTGCAATTTGTTTCTATGATGTAATAACTCTTGTGGGTGTTTGTAACTACCATTGCCTCAACAGCCTTTGTCGGAGGCGAGGACAAGCTGTGTATCCCCGGTATTTGCTGTTGGAGTTTGTAAGCCTTTAATGGCAACAAGTGGGGACAGAACTCACCTTTGATTTTCATTTCTCTCCTGTGTATTTATGTCTCATTTGGTATTGATTTGCTCTAAAAAAGAAAATCGGTGAATGCTGACAACATGGTGAGTAAACTGAGCATTATTGAATAAACCCACTAGTGGATTTTTGTTGAATTAATTCCAGTTTTCTTGACTCTGTGTTCCTTCTTGTTGTCTGCCATTCTTGTTTCTCCTCGGTGACCGACCTCCTCGAATTTTTTGGTGGTAGAGGAACTGCTGGGAAAAATTTTCTTTTTCGGTCGCTGCCTTTTTCTTCTTGTCTTGGTTGATGCTGTCTTTGCCATTTTTTCAGTAGAGAAACTGCCCCGAAAAACCATATTTTCTGGTGCAATTATGCTAGATAGCCACATAGTTTGACACAAAACTTGACACAATGATGTGGAAAATGGAAAAAATAAATAAATAAACAGAAAGAAAAAAAATTGGCACCGGTGAAAAACGTGTGAAATTTGAAATTTTTAAAACCGGCCCACTTGTTAAACCCGACCCAAAATGCCCACCCAAGCCCATTTCATCTCCAACTCAGATTTTCAGTTTCCCTTTTTAGCTCATTTGGCTCTCTCATGTTGCCCTAAATGCCTCTACCTGACGACTGCGAAATACTGTCATTTTGCGAAATGAGCTCTCCGTTTCAGATTCTCAGATCCCCTTAGCCGCTCATTTGGCTCTAAAATCTTCCCCGGAAAGCTTCTACTCGGCGACTCTGAATATGCCGTCGACGGCACGCTCGTCCATTTGCCCTAATGTTACTAAGTTGCTGTTCAATTGGTACCGATTAGCAGAGAGCTTAGGTGAAACACCGTCGAAATACTCAGTGTTTCAGTTCTGAGATGGTCAGGCACTTCTCATTGATTCGTAATTGCTACCGCATATCGTCTTCGACCACATCTACAGATAGCTCAGGTATATAAGTATGAAGTTCATGTTTCAATAAATGGGTTGAAATACCTTGAAGTGATATGAATTTAAAATCTGCAGATATGTGATTTTGTCCTAAATGATTTGTTATATGATTTCCCAAATTTTACCTGTACAATGGAGATTATGTTTGGAGTACGAAAAATGGAACCCTGCAGTAGTCTCCCCATAGACAAAATTGTTTCTCTTTTAACGTGTCATTCACTAGATAAGAACGGGACATTTTTGACTGAGGAGGAGGGAGTGAAAGGCTCATTTACTCCTGTAATATGCATATTTAGCTTCCAACTTAAACTGGAATGTTCACGAGTCATTTGGTTACTTTCCAGTGAATGTTCATGTTTCCTGCAGACAGAGAGAGATTAGTGTTGACTGAGGGAGTCATTTGGTTACTTTCCAGTGAATGTTGCTTCCAACTTATTTGCTTCTGTGAATTCATTTCATGTGTTGACTGAGGGAGTCTGAGATTATCCTTTTGTTTGGTGTTTGATCCCCAGGTTAAAATGAGAGGGAAGAATTATGGAGTATGCCATAGTTGTAGATTGAAGGGACATTTTTTTGCGGAATGCCCGAATAAACGACCTTGCCCATGGTGTAAACATGCGTTTTTGAAGTGCTTCGAGGTGGAGAAGAACACTGAAAACAAAGGCAAACTGTTCGAAACGTGCAGCGTGAAATGTGGTTATTGGGAGTGGGTGAAAACGAAGGAAACGGGTGCTGAATCAAGTTTAGTCACCAGCACTCCGGATCTGTCTTGCATGTTCGAAACACGATGCCGAATAACTGGTGATCAAGACATGGAGATTGCTATGAACGTGACCATACGCAAACGAGGAGAGCATGTCACCAAATGGGAGAAGAATGGACAATCGTCGGCCTGAGCTAAACTTTATTCATTTCGAATGAAATTGTAACTCAAATTATGTAAATGAAATTATTGCTGGGAGTATCCAAATTATCCTTGCCTCCACCAATATTACAAGATTCCTGTATGCACTACAATCTTGAATTATCTTCCATAATGATATGTTCCGTTTCCTAGAAACTAATTTAACATACATCAGTTGTAAAGTTAAATATACTCGTCCAGAATGTGACAAAGAATGCTCTGTGGTCTAATGAGTTGTCAATTTCCATTGTGTTCTGTCATCAATTGGTTGCTCATGTTTTATTGTTTGGCCATTTACTTAAAAACTCGATGGCTTCTGTGCATTGTAGTTATGAATTTTATCTGCTCATGCAGTTGTTGTTCTTGTGGATTTGATTTAAACCTGCGTTCATCGAAGGCTTTGCTTATTGCCATTGGTGCAACATTTTTTTTTTTTGCACTCGTACTCTCGTTTTGAGGAAATTATTGCTCGTGATTCACTAACCCATTGATAGGTTAATAGCAGCTTTATGTAACTTGTTTCTGTTGAATTTTTAAATAGAATATAATACAACTACTATGACTTATATCTATGTAGTAATTTATTGAGCTTTATGCTGGCAGCACTGAATTGGGAATGCAGCCATTGTTCTATATCTTTCTTTGAATTGGGAATGCAGCCATATTACCCGTTGATCAAGCCAACTATGGGTCGACATGTTTGCCTAGTTAGCTCGTTAGGTCCCAATTATGTTGCGTTTTTGCCATGGGAGATATGGGTGCAAGTACAACACCAACAAATGCAGTAGAATGGTAAATCTTGAAATTGAAGCTAAAAAATGCCTGTCTTACATCAGAATGTAGGATAATCAAAGTATATTTTTTTCTAGTGCACAAAACTTAAAACGGTGATCAATGTTTGATTAGAAGTACAAACACAGTAGGACTTCGTGTTGAAAAAGATTCAGCAAGAGCCTCTTTTAGTTCATCTGGGGTTCCAGCAAGATAACCCTTTCCTCCAAAAGCTTCAAGGAGAACATGATATGCTGCACCAGGGACAAAAGAAGTAGGTGCTGGGTCGTCCCTGTAAGGACCAGTTATTTCATCATGGTTCCTCCGTAGGTGCATCCGTGTTTCCTCCATCAAAATGCATTCCCAAACCTACATAATGAATATACATAATGAACAATTTTTGCAAAGCATTAATAAATATACATAATGAACATTTATCAGACGGTCTAACTTATTCACCTTGCATATTTAATGTAGGAGTTGTTGCCAATGAAGGGTTTAGACACGTGGATTGCAAGTGATGTGTGAACTGAAGATTTTGGTTCCCACTCTGCGTTAAATAGCATTATCAGTAAATACTACATTATCATTGAAGTCAAATCATTAACAAATGCTAACCAAAAGGAGGTTCGTATAAGAGAACGGTAGCGGCATGTGTAGTTGTTGAGGCGACTGGAGAATGGGCGCTGAAACCATTCCCATATCACTTCCAGGAACCTTCGTTTTCTTCCGTTTGTTAGAACCCGTACTTGCCTGCAAAACAAGGAATGTTCTTTGACATTATCCCTATACTGAGTTTGCAACAACCGAAAATATGCCACATTTGAGTATTACCTTGACTTTGCTCGAAATGGTTTCCAATGGGCTCTTCTTCCGAAGTTTCTTTGGGGCACCTTTTCTTTTCACATATTCTGGATCCCTTATGTTACCACTTCCAGTATCCTCTGGAGCTCCACATTGGAATGATGTCTGAGTCGTATGCGGAGAGAGGACATTACTATTAGTACGATTTGTTTCCATCATCTCTTCACATTGACTATCAATCCAATCAATTATTGCATCAGATTTCGCTTCATCTTCTGCTGTTAGATCGGCCAATGTCGCAAAGCGTTGACACATTTTGTCGTACTTTAATGGCCCTGGCGTACTAATCAAACCATCATAGTTCACGGGTACCCTCGTGTGGGCCCTACTCACATCTCGTCACCATCTCTGTAATATATATCTTTCGGGTATGGATTTCACATCATTACGGACCAATACTGCGATCATATGTCTGCAAATAATCCTTCGAAACTCAAAGTTGTGGCAACTGCAAGTGATTTCACATTCGTCTCTTTGAAATGAGACAAAAAAACTTTTTTTCTTCGAATGCTCGTCATTTATTACATCCTCCCGTACCTCGTACGTTGCCCCCGATAATCCCTCAGAGACAGAAACAAGGTCGCAGTACATTTTACCCGTGAACTCCCCTTGAACTTCCTAAAATTTCGAAATTGTGTAAACTGCTTGAAATTGCTTCTCAATTCCATATCTTGATGCGCATGGTACCATTTGCGAGAACGACTTGAAATCTGCTTGAAACTCCTTCTCAACCTTGTTTCTCAATGCTTGTTCGTATTGTTCAACAAATTGCTTCAACGTCGTCTTCGAATGTACATAACCATCAAAGAATGCATGCATACTCTCACTGCGTTGAGTAGTTGACATCCCTGCCCAGAATGTGGTTTTTAAATAGCAAGGTACCCAATGTTCTCTATTCTCGTACAAACCCGCCAACCACTCATTCTCATATAAGTGAAACCTTTCTACCATCACTCTCCAACCGTTTTCGAAATCTTCTACAAACTGACAATCGTAGACCAAACTGTGTATAGTAGTGAATATAGACCCCTTATCCACATGGTATCCGAACTTCTCAGGCAACTTCTTCATTATGTGCCACAAACACCATCTATGCTTTGTATTGGGAAACACAATCTGGATTGCATTTTGCATAGCCCTATCCTGATCCGTAACTATCCCATGCGGAGCCAGTCCATGCATGCATTGCAGCCATGTTCGAAAAAGCCAGACAAATGTCTCTGTATCCTTATTCGAGACCAGACCACATCCAAGGAGTGTCGACTGTCCATGGTGGTTCACTCCAACAAAAGGAGCAAATGGCATATCATACTTATTCGTGAGGTATGTGGTGTCAAATGTGACAACATCACCGAACTCCTTATATGCTTGCCTACTCCTATAGTCTGCCCAAAAAACATTCTTTAGACGCAAATCGTCATCTAGATCTATACTAAAGTAAAAGTCCGCGCTCTGTGCCTGCATTTTAGAGAAGTATGATTGTAGTGCTGATGCGTCCCCTTGTCCAAGTCTTAAACGCCTAACTTTCTCAACACAGTTACGACAATTCTTCTCGATGCAACTCAAATTCTCATACCCACCCGCTTCAACAATTGCAGAGTTAAAACTCTTGTGTAATGGAATTCCTGCCATGTCATTCACTTCGAGTCTTCGTTTAACATGTGCACTCAACTCTCGATTGCATCGATACAGCCTAGACTTCGAAGGGCTTGTCTTATGATTATGGTCTAGATGTACCTTGTTAATCTTCCATATTCCACAAACATCTTTGGATGCGCAGATCCTTGCTTTATATCCACTCTGCATGGTTGCTTGCGGTTTTAAAGAACCGCTTGTATTTTTTATTCTTTTCCCTTCACGGCTACAAGTCATCATCCTTTACCGAATTTCGTTTCCTGACCGGGAAACCAATTTCGTATGCATATCTTTTGTACAAATCAAAAATTTCATTTTCATCCTTAAATTTCATACCCGCTCGGGCACAATCACACCATCTCCAACTAACGTATCATCACCCGCTACATTCATAATATCCACAACATCCTCATTATCGGACTCCACCGGTATAATTTCATCCACATATTCCGAAATTTCTTTCCCTTCATCAAACAAATTATTTAACATGTCAAATAATTTATGTAACTATAATGCAAATAGAAACTGGTCAGATCACGGTGGACTACAATGCAAATAATCGTTTGAAGAAAAGTAGAAAATATAATATAATGGTTCAAATCTAAACGAAAAGAAGCAAAAAATGAACGAAACTAAAATACAGCAAGAGAATTATATAGAAATGTCCAGTGAGTTTAATGTATTCTTCAGCTCCAGTTTGGACTTTTTTATATGCTCATCATTGGATCTCAGCAAGCTTAATGAATTCTTCAGGTCCAGTTTGGAAATTTCAGATAGATAACGCAGTTTATTCTCACGTCATCAATCCATGGGAAAATTAAAACATAAATAGAATTCAAAAGGCAAATTAAAGCATAAACAGTCTACCTACTCATATCACAATGCAAGACCATCTATCAATAACCAACTCAAAAAACTGTAAAGAGAGAAAATCAAATTACAAATCCCCTAAATCCAAACGGTATGTACAGGAAACCAGTACCTTTTTCGATCATCTCTCGGCTGAAAAATGTTAGGATCCTCTACGTTTGGAGTCTTTTCCCACTGCCAGGCCCTTCTTCATTCAATGTAGTACACGCAAACAACCCAATCAACAAGTTAGAATTTTGGATTTACACAATATGCGTAGGAAGTGTCTAATTAACCTTAAATATTAGTCAAATACCTATTGATTAAGATTATTGAAGAACAACGAAATGGGTTTCTCTACCAGCCACTGTAATCTCTTCCAGCCACCATAGTTCGATTTCTTTTCCAGCTAAAATAGGTATTTGTCATGCGCCATGTACAGAAGAGAAGGGATGCAGTTGGATCTGGTAACAAGATCGTGCCATTGCAACCGGCGTAGGTCTGCAGATCGCGCCACAATGGGAGTTCCAAAGACCTACACACGGGTTTTGATTCGAAATGAAAATTACAAAATGATACGGGTTTTCACCAATGATATGGGTTTAACAACTGGGCTGGGTCGGGTTTAACAAGTGGGCCGGTTTTAAAATTTTCAATTTTCACACGTTTTTTACCGGCGCCAATTTTTTTCTTTCTGTTTATTTATTTATTTTTTCCATTTTCCACATCATTGTGTCAAGTTTTGTGTCAAACTATGTGGCTATCTAGCATAATTGTTTCTGGTGGCCTTTTTGTACATGGTATAACGTGGTTAGTATTGTTTTTTACGAATGGCGTCTATCTGTTAACCTCAAAAAATGCAGCAATAGAATCCAGGCCTCGTTCTCTTCAAACCTGCGCACGGAACACCTAGTTATGATGCAAAGGCCGCCAGTCGAGAAAAATGTTCGGCAATCATTTGTACTCCAACGGTCAAATCAACGACCGGGCGAAAAGAAAATAAAGAGTGCTGAGACAGGAGAGGGGGTTTGGTTCGAGTTTTAGAACGTACCTTATGTTGTGAAATGAACCCATATGTATAGAAAAGGAAGTGGACCAAACAGGTTAAAGAAATGGGGCCAAGTCCAATGAGGCCCAATATGAAATATGTATAACAATAGTCTCACAAATCTGAATCGTATATTTATATGCGTGTCGGACTTCAAAATATAAGCTATCAAATAAACGATGTCACGTCGGCTGATGTGGGACCCTCTCCGTCATGCGTATGCTACATAATTTTTGGATATAACAAATTTATTTTTTTCAAATAATGTGGATCAAACAGATCCTATGTAAAGGCAAAGGTAAAGTTGCAAAAAGTTAATAGCAAATATAAAGCAAAGAGTTTCAATGAATTTTAAACCCTAGAAAAAATGATAAAGAAGAAAATAGAATCAAGTGCTTTGGTTCAACAAGTGAACTTTATGGATTACTCCAAAGGCTTAAAAGAAGAATTCAGAATATGCAAGCCAATCCAGAGTCATCATTCTGAAACCTACAATGAAATTTCATCAGCAGCGTCTTATTGTTGGCACTTCGTCCATTTTTGCCTGAGGTCCAAACCTTCGAAATTCTTCAATGCCAAAAAATGGTGGCAAAGTAAATCTATAGCAGGACGAATCAGCAGATAAAACTCTAACAAACAATATTACAACGTTGAAGGGCAACTCTACCTCATGGCTCTTACTCCTGTAATAACATTCTAATCAATTTTGTACCGATTCTTTATATCAGCTTCTTTGCATCCCAACCTTGGTGTGTATACACTGAAAGTGCTATGGCCTTGATGAAAAATGCTATTTGTACACCGAGATTAATACTGGTTTACACTTTCCTCACATGGGGACCCACGTCCAATAAAAAAATCGTGAAACCCCCTCATGTGAGGAGAGTGAACATCGGAGTGTGACTTGTAGCAAAACTCGGCTTTGAAACCTGACTTTCGAGCCTCCTTACAAGCTGAATAACTACATTTCTATCCTCGTAGACCTACAAAAAGGCAACAGATATATTACTCACACCTAAATAGCCAGATCAATGTTGAAATATGGTTTCAAATCCCGAAGGAAATGAACTTTCTTTGAGATAAAGAAATAAGGAGCTCAAGAGTTTACACGCATGCTTTATTGGCCCTCCTCACCAAGCAAAAAAGCCTCATTCTTCCTTTTATATGAAGAGTGGGCAAAGAATCAAGAAACACCCGCCACAGAAGAACTTCAACTATCGCATCACTTCTGTTGCTCCAACACTAGCATCAAAGTTATTATTATGATTTTTACATTCTACGTTATCAATATTTGTTATTTTGTTTAGCTGTTGCAAATATAAAGAATAAATATTTATGTGCAATTCATGACTCATAACTTAAATATAAAAAGTCCAAGGTTCTTGTATTTTCCTTGCTCCTCTTTACCTCTACCTTCCTTCTCCCGTAGCGAGCCATCTTCTATTCTCGTTCTAGTCTACTTGGTGCCCTTTTCTTCCTTCTGTTTTCCCCTTGTTGGTCCTTTTCCTCACCTTTCCCCGTTCCTCCTATGTCGTATGAGGATTATATGACAATTTAACAGAAATTTCGATGATTCATGATTAAAAATTGATTGTGTATATATAATAAAAGGTTAAAGACCAATTCACTGATTTTTAAAGGTTGAAAACTGACTTGTTGCTCAAGGAATAGGTTAAAGATCGCTAGGGCAATTTTCATTATTTATTAGTCCTCGACCAATTTTCATTATTCATTTTTTACTTTCGGTGAAAATGGCGGCTGCTTTCTCCAACTTAAACACCCTTTTACAATCCCATACTTCATTTCCTATAGCACTATCCCAAAAGTTACTTGTTTTGCCACCGACATCCTCAAAGACGAATTACATTGGAAATTGCCATAAATTGTCATGTTAAACTCGTGATCCTTCCATTTTGGAATAATTAATTAACAATTTACGTTGAATTACCTAGTTGTTGTTGGAAAGTAGAAATTGAAAAAGTAAGAGTACATGCAGATATGAATCCTCTTATATAGAAGTAATTGAGTTTTATACGACGATTTAAGACATGATTTCCGTTTATGAAAATATTAGCTACCAAAAGATGAAAAGTTGGATATAGCCGCATTACGAAATGTATGTTCTGAACTTAAGTGCCAAAGGGTACGCAGAATGGGACGCTACCCCAATTTTCTTCTTTTAATTATTTTACTAAAAAGGATGAGAAAAAATGAAAATAGAAACAATAGGGCATTTACGGACGTTTTGGCTAGGTCACTTTCTTCCTCCTCCCCTGGATCTTGTACATACAATATTTTTTGTTTCCATTTATATCTTCATTAAGTCAAACCCAATTGTACCCACCCTATTCCCATTATACTAAGCATAGAGCCCCCAGCCATTGTACTTCTCCTTGATTGTCATAAATATTTGGGGCCACGGAGTGTATCTCAACAATGGCTAATCGGAATAGGAAATGGATGACCGAGGAGGTGGTAACCTATGCTTATATTCTCCTTTATATCGCTCTTTCCAGCGGCCAGATCTTCTTCAACAAGGTACCCGTTTCTATTTCCATATGTATACATATATTTCTTTTTGGAATTATAAGAACAATGTACTGGCATGATATGTATGGTTTGCTAATTGTTTTCTAGACTTTTTTTTATTTTTTATGGATTCCAGCGTTTAAGAGATTGTATCATGCGATTTTTGTAGACGTTGAAAAGTTAATTTCATTAACTTCTTTTGCTCATTGCGGATGAATAATGTGTGTTATTGAAATGGGCTAGAAATTTGAAAATTTAGACAGACCATGCTTTCGGGTTAATCTTGATTTCGGGGCAATTAACTGTGTGGCGAGAATTTACCTGTCTAAGCAGATTGTGCGAGTGGATTGGAAGGAGAATCTTATGGAAAAAGGATTTATACTGTGCCTCTTAAGAAGCATTTAAGTATTAAAATTTGCATCATTTATACTGTTGGATGACTGAATCAAAATGAAATTTTTGGTGTTCAAGAATTTAAGACATTTTGAATCTAACACAATTACTATTATGTTCAAGGCTTACCTCTTAAGCAACATGACACTTGGGTGACTAGAGGTGTCGAAAAGTAAGCAAGGGTTCCTGTGATCTAATGGACAGAGGTCGTTAAAGAAGCCGGTTCAGGAGACAGAATCAGATTATCAACTTAGAATATTGGACACTTGCAAAAAATCCCTAGCACTGGAAGATGTTAGGCAGAAAGTTACAAGTTGCGTAAAATAGGTATAACGAGCGGGAGAGCATGCCAAAGAATTAGGGAACACGGAATACAAACTACAATAAACGGGAATTGAAAAGCAAAGAAATGGAGTAGGAAATTATATTAAACTAGGTGTAAAGTGTTTGAAGTTCACCGCTTAGTATAGTGTTAATTAGACTTCCTTTAGCCAATAGTAAATAAATGTTGTTAGCACTAATGCTCCACAAAAGGGATTAGTCTATTAGATAAGACAACCAAACAACAGTTTAGGAAAACATGAATGGGTTGGTTCAGACAATAACTAGTTAAAACAAGATTTTTGTTTGGGGAAATTGAGCTGACATGTGGGGAAATGTAACTTGGGGATACGAACGAGTACATGAAAATTTTGGATTTGGAGATCAGAATGAAGAAGTTAGAACTACTTTATTTTGACTTGTGATCTAGTGTTGGCAAACACATGCTTTAAAAGAGAAACAAGCTCTTCCTAACTCTTAGATATGGGCAACGGGTTATATTTATTTTAGCCTTACAGGAATGTTTATAGGTCCATATGCAAGGAAAATCTCTGGAGATAACTGTACAAAATTGGCTGCAGGTGTTGATATTGTTAATAAGAAGTGGAAAAGAATTACCAAGGTGGTGAGATTTCTTGAAACAAGATAGTGGAAAACTAAGTGAATTTTAATCGTAGAGATTCAAATGTAGGACAATGGGATATAAAAGGAGACAGCATCATGATGTAGAATGAGATGTCTAGTTTTATTAGAAACATAGCAAGGGAAGTTTTAGGAGAACCTGAGGCTAGAAAATTAACTAAAATGGAGACATGGTGGCAGAACGAAAGGGTCTAAATGACAGTTAAGAATACAATAAAATGTTATTGGAACTTAGCAAAAGATATAAATGTGGAGGCTTTTGAAATGTATAAGTTAGCTAAATGAGAAGCCTAGAGGGTGATTCGATAGTCCTATGCAGAATATTAGAAGTTGAATAGCTATCTTGGAACCGATGAAGGAGATAAAATTATTCATAAGATAGCTAAGCAGAGGATAAATTGTAGTACAGATTCAAACCAAATCAAGTGTATAAAAGATGAGAACCAAAGAATTTTGTCTCATAAAGTTTCAACAAGTTATTGAATGAGAGAAAATGTGAGATATTGGAAATTTTTCGAACTTCAGTGTGGATAGGAAATGTCAGCTATGCTACAAATAAAAAGGAAGGAAAAATTGAAAAAGAACGGGGTGGATGAAATGGAGAAATAAAACAGAATTATGTGTGACAATGAACAATGAACATTGAACATGTATTGTTTCAAAAAGCAGCTGAGATTTATACCTAGAGGAGGACCAAATGCTTAACCTTCATTTAGAGCCTCAAAGCTAATGATTTGAGTACAATTTTTCAAGGTTCACATCTTGACTATTGTGGGGCGGTTGAGTTGTGTGCTCATTTCCCATTTTTGAACTTTTTATTACTGGCCTCATCTCTATTGGCTGACATTTTTATTGCCTAGGACATTTTAAAGGTTTTGGGCTATTTTAAACACAACCCAACTCTGCTACAGGGAAAGAATGGAAAATAGAGAAAAGTCAAGTGAAGTACGAGTATCACAGCCTTCTCCTATTGAAGTGCAATAAATCCCTCTCCAAAGTGAAGTTGCAACATCTTAGTGAACAATGGCTGGTGAAACGAGACCTACTATATGTAATTGAATCTGTTCTTTCTTTTATAGCTTCTTTAGTTGCAGTTAGAATTTCTATTTAGTTGAAATCTTTTATTATGAAATTTTAGATGGTGTATGTGTTCATTTTCGAATTATTTGAGGCTTACAACTCTCCCCATAGAGCCAAAATGCATCAATACCCAGTTTAACCTTTTCTAAACCCTTCTAAATGTGCTCGTATGCTTATGTAAGGGGAGAGAGTTGCAGAGGGGATGCACTTGCTATGGACCTTTCTACATTCATTTTTAGGTCTCCACATCCTTGTCATTGTCTAATGTCTAAGTAACTGATATTTTTCTGGCAGGTCAACAATTTTATATATATATATATATATATATATATATATATGTTTGCCTATTGTTCTCGTCTTCCTCACTTTTTTTTTTTTTTTTTTTCCCAAAAAAATGTTGAGTGAGACGTAGCTTGTACAGATAGATAATTGATTCAGTTTTAGTTAATGGGCTGCGTCTCCTTGGTACATTAAAATGGCAACACAAATTGCATTATGCAGCTCTCTTAATCGCTTGTATCTCCTTCATCTATTCAAATGGCATTTTGCAGTTTCCATTAATTTGTTGCATCTCTTCATTACTCTCAAATGGCATGATAAAAATAATTTAAACAATAAAGTGTTGTGCAGCATGGATAAGTCGAGGACTTGGCATTTTGCTGTTTTCCTCTCACCCCATTTAGCATTTTTCCTTTGTTTGCTCCATATTAAGTTTTAGTTCCATATTTATTTTCTTAAAAAAAACTTAGAATTGCTAAAACTATGTTACTAACTAGTTGAGCTTTGAAAATACAGATATATATACTCAGTTATCCCAATTGGTGCAACGTTTGCAATGACCCTTTGGCTTGGAAACACTGCTTACCTCTATATATCTGTTGCATTTGCTCAAATGTTGAAAGCAATCAGTGAGTATCATTAGTTTTCTAATTTTTTGATGCCTAATGCTTTTAATGTGCCATGAAAGTGTGTTAATGTTATAAGTTGGCCTTGCATTACATCTGTAATAAATTGTATTATCATGTATATGCTGTCAAATTCATTCACACGTTGCACAGTATATGTTTTATTGGTGGTAACAGATTGGTCTTGGAAGCACCTAACATTTTCTGCCTTATAATCTATGTCGTTGGCTAAAGATGCTGATTTCTACATCTGGTGGCATCTTCAGTGCCAGTTGCTGTTTTCATTCTAGGTGTGGCAGCCGGACTTGAAATGATGAGCTGCAGGATGCTTCTTATTATGTCAGTGATCAGTTTCGGTGTACTCATAGCTTCTTACGGGGAAATAAGTATAAACTGGATTGGTGTTGTTTACCAAATGGGAGGTGTCGTTGGAGAAGCTTTGAGGCTTATATTTATGGAGATTCTAGTAAAACGGAAGGGTATCAAATTAAACCCCATTTCGGTGATGTACTATGTTAGCCCCTGCAGGCATGTATATTATCCTTTAAAGTATTGGTGATATTATACATTCATTAGACCATTTTGAACTTAAATACTTTCAGCGTGCTTATAATGTCTAGATCCGCTATGCAGTGCTCTCTGCCTCTTAATTCCATGGATCTTTTTGGAGAAGCCAAAGATGGATGAACTGGGGACTTGGAGCTTCAAACCTCTTGTTCTGACACTTAATTCTCTTTGTACCTTTGCCCTCAATCTCTCGGTTTTCCTTGTGATCTCACATACAAGTGCTCTGACCATTCGTGTGGCTGGGGTAGTCAAGGATTGGGTGGTTGTCCTACTATCAGCCCTTCTTTTCGCTGATACAAAATTGACACTTATCAATATATTTGGTTATGCCATTGGTAAGTATTCTTTTTCTTACCTTTTCTTATGTTAATATTATATTAGATTCCTTATGCAGTCTAATATAGTGTACCAAACGCACTCTACAAATCTTAACCATATGACATGTTAATAATAAAATACCGTCTTAATGTTTCGGATTGATAAGAATATTTGCAGTTATTTTTCATTTTCTTTGCAATAATCTGCTATCTTTGTGGTGCAGCCAATTTTGTGTTCAACAATTTAACTAGCCGTATAAATAAAAATGTTGAATTCTTATGCAGCTATTGCAGGAGTAGCAGCATACAATAACACTAAGCTGAAAAAGGAAACCTCACGAGCCAGCCCGAATGAGGCTATGCAATCTGTGCCTTCAGTTTCATCATCAACGTCAAATGATTAAATTTATTTGAACTGCCCTTCTGACAAATTATTCTAAGGTCTACAGCAAAAAAATTTTTTTGTTCAGGTTCTGTTTTTAGCCAGTTTTGGGGATTTTTTGGCCTCCCGAAAGATACCTTTCATAAGAGAATTGAGGTACTACATTTTGCTATTAGAGAAGCCACAGCAGCTGTAAGCAATTACAGAATTGATTTTGGCTAAGAACCTTTTGAAATTTACAGAGGATAATTTGATTAAAGAAGAAATGGTTATTAAAGAAAAAGTGTATTTTTTTATTACATGCATTAATATTATAAATGACGTCTATTATTGAGCAATCATGAGTGTGATATGTAGGGCTAGACATGATCCGATTCGGTTCGGTTCTTGTTAGAACCGAACCGATCCGAAATTTTCGGGTATTTAGTAAGTGGAACCGTCGGGTCCAAATTTAATTACAGAACCGTTCAGGTTCGGTTCCATTCGGTTCGGTTCGGTCCGGTTCGGTTCCCTTTAGTTCCATATTATAATTAATTTTTTAAATATATACAAAGTTACGTTAATTTAATTAATGATATATTTAATATTAGCTCTTACAAAATAACGTAGTTCAATCTTATGTGTTTCACGTCTCTCTTGGCTGAATTCTTCATAAATTTGATTATTAAAATCACAGAAAGAGAAAGATAGCGAGCTCATAATAATTAAGAGAGATGTTGTAGAGTTTTAATTCGATTTTCTCCGGTAAAAACGACACTATAGTAGAATAACAAATTTGGATAAAATTGAGGTCAATTTGATTAAGTCGATTTTGAACTGATTATTAGAAATATGAAAATCATATTTTGTGGTTTGAACTAAATTAACTAGTTAACAAATTTATTTAGAAAAAATAAAATAATTTTTACTTATTTAAAATAAATTAATTAAAAAAATTACGGAGATTCGGTTCTTATTCGGTTTTTCGGGTCTTGGCCTCGAACCGAGAACCGAACCATACCCGTCGGTTCTTGATTCAAATACCCGTTCGGGTATTTAACTTGAGAAGAACCGTCGGGTTTGGTTCTGTTCGGTTCGGGTCCGGTTCGATCGGTTCGGTTCGGGAGTTTTGTCCAGCCCTAGTGATATGTCGTGTAGTGGCAAAAAAAATCGAACTTTGTTTGATTATTTATGAGGGTGTAGAATTTGAAGATAATATACTAGAGTGAATTGGATGATATAATCAAACTATATTCGATGTGTTGTCTTTGTACTCAATGTAACTATATGCCTTATAATACACTTTGTAGTCTCTTCGTAACGATTTATATCATTTTTGGAGTATATGCTTGATGTTATTGAATTTTAATTTTAATTGTGAAGAAAATGCTTTTTACTTGAGAGTTTACGGTTTCATATTTTATTTCACTTCTCGATGGGGGTTCTTTTCGCCCTTCCCTCATGGTACTACTTCCTTATCGATCATCCAAGAGTATTGAGCCTTGCAAAATGGTCCTTACTGATTCACACGGGATTCCACGTGTCTCATCGTACTCGGGTCCATCGGACCAATAGGGTTGTTATGCTTATTATTAAACTTGTTGAAGATATGAAATATAAACTAGACTCCCTATTAATTAGATAGAAACGATCACCAAGATTTCGTGATTTGCTGTCGAATCTAAAACGAAATAAAACGGATTATTAATCCAAATTGAATTCAAATTTCAATTTAAAAGTTAGGTAATGAATCTCTTTAGTTAACCCCCAAAGTGGGATAGATCCAGCAGAAATCTCTTTCGTTAGATGTGGTAGATTAAAGGGGGACGCCAAATTATTGTTGAGGCGTACGAGTTAGGAAACTCTCAAGTATAGTTTTGAGGGCAGAAATTAACCTACCCATTCCTATCGAGGAGACTCCCCATTCATTAGATAGAGAAGATCACCAAGATTCCGTGATACACTGTCGAACTTATTCAAATTCCAAGAGCTAGGGGCGTGCTATGCCAAAAGCTAGAGAAACCCTATCCGTCTCGGATCAACGTTGTTTCTTCGGTCTAAACTGAGAAATCCCTTAGATATGATGCAAAACGAATTTTGTTCTATCTTTGATCAATGATTTCTCTATAAAAAATATGAATCGAAAATTGAAGAGGGGGATGAAGAGGGAGCCCTTGACCTGCAACAGATAGATGATGATTTATTCAATCACAAAGCTTGGGCTAAAATATTAAGTTGTAAGAGCGTTATGTTATGAAACTTATTAAATGCTAAGATATTTTAAAATGGTGTTATTTTTTTTCTTTTGTCTAAAATACATTTTAAAATAGTATTTTTTTAATGGCAAATGTGTGGTTAAAAATAAAGAAAGATTTTGAATTTGCGTGTAATATTATTTTATTGAAAATGTGTGGTTAAAAATAAAAGAAAAAAAATATTTTGAAAATAATAAAGACCAAACAAGGGCTAAAAGTTACGAGAACATGTGACTATTTTAAGGTCCCATGTTATTTATGAGATTTTAGATAAAAAAAAAAAAAAAAAAAAAAAATTCTCAAGATACCAAGTCAATAACTCAGCATATTGAGGGGAAAAAAATTACACTAGTCCTAATTTTTAGTTTATCATTTCAAAAATCAAACTTTAAGTTTATTCTTTCATACATCAGGTATATATTATACCCCCACGCCATCTCACATTACCCTAGCTCTTTTATCCATCCTTCTCCAAATCACATATCTACATTCGCTCCAACAACTAAATACCACTTCCAACACTCTTACCACTGGCATCCTCCACCACCACTTCCACCATTGCCTATAAACATCTAACCTTACCATTCACCTGCCATTGCCCACCACCACTTCTACTTCCTTTTATTCATTTTTTCCCTAAGCCACAACTCAACATTCACTCCCACCAACACGGCAACACCTATAAACATCCAACCCCACCACCTCTCTAGTCATTGTTGCTCATCGTTGCCAGCTAGCACAACTCCACCCTGAGTTGCCATCGCTCAATATTTGATTGCAGATCTGAAGATCTAATCTCGTAGTCGTTCGCGCACCGCTCATAATCATCCCTTGATGAATTGGTACCATTTGAATTTTGGTGGTGACAATTGACGATGGCAGGTTTGGAGAGTTTTTTGCATATCAGTGTGTGAGAGATAAGTAGGTGGTGGTGATAGTGTGACAGGTTTGGGAGAGAAAAACTTTGGTGGAACGGTCACACCATCCTACGTGGTGTGACCGTTGAATGGGGAGTCATCACCTCATATGGTGGCCGACCCTCATCCAATAAGGTGAGGCTACCTTGGGACTCAGTACGGTCACACCACATAAAGCGGTGCAACCATCCCACCAAAAATTTTCTTGGTTTGGGGATTTTGTTGTGGTTACCTCTACAATTTTCTATGAATGATTGTGTGGAAAGAGAGAGGTGTAGGTGGTAGTGGTGGTGGTGGTGGAGGTGGAGGTGTTTAGGTAGTGCTAGTAATTGTCAGTGGTTGTAGATTGTTGGGTATTTTTATAGTGAAATGGTTGTTTTGAAATAAACAAAAAGACAGAGTTTAATCTGCATGAGCATGATTAAACACAATAATATTTGAAAATATTTATGGTATTTAAACCACAGAGAAAACGGGAAAAGAAGAAGAAGAAAATTTGAAGCAAGTAAAATGTCACTCTTTTTTTAAGACAATATTGTCCCACAACGATGATCACGAATTATGGCACTTGTCTACCTGGATACAATGGATACGAGTTGTGGTAGAAGTACTTCAATCCACAGGTTCCAGCAAACTTTTGACCGTACTTCTCTCTCTACAAAGAAGATAGTTTGGATGATTTTGAGGATGATTGTGCAAGAAATTCAATGCAATGTTCAATGCAAAAGTGATATGAGATACATTATGGACATCCAAATGGTCTTATTTATAGAGGATGAGGGGTTGTGTGTATAGTGATGCGTGTCAAACCTCGCAACTTTAAGAACAGAATCATCACTTACCGTCGCTAGCCTATCACTGACCTCTCACTCGAGCTCCAGTGTAAAAATATTTACAAAAGCTCTTCGCTCGTCTCTCGTTAGTCTGTTGCTCAAGCTACAACCCCTTGCTCGAGCGATAGGTGAGTAATAGAGTTAGGCGATTTTTCTAGCATTTTTCCTTTATTTTTTTCAATAGTGGATCACAATTTTTCATTCATTTGGAATTAGTTTTGAGATTTCAAATATACTATGATAATCTACTCAAGTCCGAATTTTTGACCAAGTTGACGTGAAAGTCACTTTTTCAACTTTTATACTTAACCAAATTCTCAAATTTGAACCAATTTTCAACATAGATGAGGTGCAGGTAGTGGTTATTGTAGTGGTACGAAGAAGGTAGATGTGATGCTAGTGGTTTTGTAGTGGACTTGGGGTGCCGGTGGCTATGGATGAGGTGCTAGTGGTGATGCGATAGAGTTGAAGGTGTTGTTGATGGTTCTGATAGTTGTGGCTCGTCGCTTTGAGGTGGCATCAATGGAGGTGGAGTGGGGGTACGGTGGAGGTTGGGGTAAAACATGAATGTGACCGGTTAATTGAATAATTGTAATCAATTAATTTGATTATTTTTTATCAATAAATAATTTATAACTTATAAAAATGTGTGATTTGGGACTAATTTTGCAATACTAACTCACGATTTACGTCTTTGTGCTTGTGACCTTTTGTAATTTGTGATTAATATGTGATTGTGATCATTTTATATTATTGTGAAATTGACTGATTTAATTAATTAATAGGCCACAAAATTTTATCAGGTGGTCACATTTTATGACTATTTGATTTTTGAAAATTTTTTATAAGTTTTTTAAATTTGAAAGTATATCTTTAAATATGATAATTATGGATTTTTCTTATAAAAATCATCTGTTTCTAAAAGATTTTTTTAAATTGAAAAATCATTTTCAATCATATATTTTATAGGATGCATAATTTTTATCACTTTTAATCACATGTTATTCAAATAACTAATTTTCTCTTGCAAAAATATAAGTTCATAATAGTTTTAAAGTAATCAATATTAAATATTTCTCTATATTTAATCGTTGTCAACATTATATCCCACACATGACATCTATTTAAAGGTTTTTAAACCATAAAATTCCCAAGATTAATTTATGGTAATGAACAATTGTTTATGTCCCGTCTAGTTACATTATTTAATGAATAAAATTACTTTTTAATTTTATTAGACATCACAATATGACAATAATCTCACTACCACATAGATTATTGTTCATCATTTATAAGTTTGTTTCACTCATGATTTTTGCACAATTTTGGCGTGATTAATTGCTAGATTTTGTAAGTAGAGAACGTTTTTAATGTGTTTGTTAGTATTGTTTTGAAAATTAGGAAAGGCGATGCAAAAAGAGGCACTAAAGCGGACGAAGAGACCAAAAACAAGGAATTTGGGACAGAAAGACGGCACTTAATCACTACGAAACTAAAAAAAAATGAAATTTGAAGCCAAGAGGCAGCACCTGGGCGCTAGACGCTGCAGACGTAGCGCTTAGGCACTGCAATTAAATTGACGCGGCGCCTAATCGCTGGCTCGTAGTGCTTAGGCGCTGTGTCTGATTCATCTAGGGTGCGTTTTTTTGGCCGTTTTAAAATTCATAAAAACCCTACTTCTACACAAAACGGGGGGAACACCTATAAATACAATCTTTCTCATACTTTTGAGGGATTCTTCTCACATTGGAAGGCAAGACAACAAAAAGGTGGATTCAAAAGAGAAATTCAAGAAGAATAACACCCAGCAATTGAAGATTTGAAGTATTGATTGGAAGGTGAAGAAAATCTTGATGCAAGAATTTTACTTTTTCTTCTACATTTTTATTTCAAATCCGATGATGTATTCTATGAAAATTTACTATATTTCTTTTTGCATTATGAATAGTTAAATTTATTGTTATGGCGAATAATGTAACCAATTGGGATTTTTTACATTCTCTTATTAAGTTCTAGTTTTTAATTTTTTTCATGTGTTGATTTTGCTATGAGTGGAATGCATTAAATTATATGATCAATAATTTCTTGATTTTTGTGAATTCTTTACAAATAGAGATATGAGTTTATAATTTAGATCATGTAGTAAAATTCAGTACATTAGTATAACGAGTAGAGATACCTATGCCATTTATTGCTGTCATAATTGAATTTTTAGGACAAAAAACTCGTTTAACTAAGTTGAATTTGTATAGAGATATGAAATTTAATTAGTTGAATAGACTCAATGAGAACTTGAGAGGGATAAATTGAATACAATAGGAGAATTCGTCCGAACACTACATTAGAATTGAATTTTAATTTGAGATGTAAGGGGATCAATAGGTGAAGTTATTCTGCCCTAACATCCATTCATTATTTGATTTTCCAACCAATCCTGTAAGCATTCATTTATTTTCTAGATTTTAGATTAAAACTCAGATTCTACAACTTTTAATTTATTTTAGTCAAATAGTAGTTAAAGAAAAATTGAATTGAGTGCTAGAAAATAGTCATTATGGGATCGACAATCCGGTCTCTTAGGTCTACTATTACTTGTTACGGATCGTACACTTGCGAAACAAAATTTCACAACAAGATGAGTATCATTACTCAATTCTTAACCCTCGTATATTGTAAAAAATAACTAGCATTGGTTGAGTTTGTCAAGCAATTCCAAGTCTATTCACTTCAAACCTCATGTTTTCCTTCTTCACTACCAAAAGAAATGCTGTAGAGTTGGCGAGAACAAATCTTGTTTGATTGTCATCTCACTCAGTTTAATGGCATATAAAAGGATTTCTGAGCGAAAACATGAAAGTCTCAATTGAAAAGAAGTTAAAAAACTAAGACTCAAATACCAATGATCCTAATTTTGAGGAGTATAGCTGCAAAATTATCGTTTAGATAATCACATATTGTACATGGATGCTTCAAACAAAACCAGACAAGTCAACCGAGCATTCATTTTGATGTAATGGGCCTATTCCTGATGACCAAGTTTTTTTGTGGAAATTACACAGTAGCCGGTGTTTGAAGATCTCTTTTCAAAAATCAGATACAAACTATAATTATCACAAATCATGTAATAATTATATATTTTAATATTAATAATAATATTATATTAATCAATCTCACCCAATTCATCCCCAATCCCTTTCAAAATCTAAATCTCTTTCTCTATCCCCCCTCCCCTTCACCATGTTGTCTAACGTTGCTAGTCAACATAAAGCTCCGACGATAGACAAGTAGCGGCACTGCAGGTCGGGACGGAGAAGAGAATGCGTGGTGGTGGTGTAAGGTGGAGGCAGGTTGGTGTTGGTCTCTCCACTCTCTCCTCCCTTTCTTCGTGCTCCCTGATGTCGCCAGCGCCGACATGAAGCTTTGGCGATGGACAAGTGATGGCGTTGCAGATCGGGGCGAAGAAGAAAAGGTGTGGTGGTGCAAGGTGAAGACGGGTTGGCGTTAGTCTCTTCACTCTCTCCTTTCCCTTCTCCTGTCCCTCCATCGTTAGTCCGACGACTTAGTGCCGACATAAAGCTCCGGCAATAGAGAAGTGGTTGACGATATTGAACGAGGTGGAGAAGATAAGTTGTGGTGGTGGTCTTGTTGGTGATTTTTGATTAAATTTATTGTGATGGCTTGTTGGTAGCTATGGTGTTGGTGGTGATGCAAGTTGGTGGTTTGTGTTGATTGCCGATGTAAAGGTTGCTTCAACGGCGTTGTGATGATTTTTGGGCTTCTTTCTAATCTATTTTGTGGAAGTGCTAGGGCGTTTGGTGGTGATGCAGGTTGTGGTAATATGGTGGTGCTGGTGTTTTGTGTGGTGATAGTTTTTGTGATGATGGATCTAGTAGTTTGAGGTTTTGTTGAATTTGGGCAGGGCGGTGGTGGTGGTGGGGTGTTTGTGTCTTTTTTGTTATTGTTGGTGGTGGTTGTAATGGTGTAGTGCAAACGACGGTTGTGAGGTGGTGGTGCAGTGCAGGCGATGGTGTGATGGTTGCGGTGGCGTGGTGCAAACGACGATTGTGAGGTGGTGATTTGTGACCAAGATTGGTGCTAGATCGGGACTAGTGGTGGGTGTGTTTGGTGCATGTGACCAACTATTTGGAATTATTGACCAATAAATTTGAAAATGTGACCCCATAGATAAATTGTAATATTTAATTTTTTGATTTGTAACCAATGAAATAAACAGTGATCTATAATAATTGACCAAGTACTGAGTCACAATCACATATTCTTCTAAGTCTCATGTTATTTACTAATTACAAATTAACAAATTATTGGTCACAACTCTCAAATAATTGGTCATAAACACTCTTCCCATTTCATTCCCACCACCACAAACCTTACCCATACAACACCCCCACCTCCACGAGTACCACTGCCTCCAAAGCCACCACCACCTTGCCAGTATCACCATAGTACCCATAAAACCACTACACTACCACCCCACCCCACAGCACCACAGCCACAACCATATCTATATCCATATCCATATCCTCATCTCCATTCATACTACACCACAACTACCACCTCTACCAAAAAAATCTACAAACTCGTTGCCGCCACCAGTGTGCCTTAACACCACCTGCACCATTATCGAATAAAACACCATAAAATATGCCGCAAAATCAACACCAACGTTATAGCAGAACACCGGAGAGAGAGAGAGAGCGACAAAACATTGCAAAACCAACTTGTTAAGGCAAGAGCGGCAACCCGAAAACCTCCGCCATCAATTGCCTCTTCGTAGAAGCCAGGGAAATGCAAAGTCAGAGAAACCATTGGAACGCTGCGATCTGTGACTAGGCAAAACAACGGATCGTCGCGATCTGAGTAAAGGCAAAACCACGAATTTTCTAGCAGAGGTGCTACACTGCAGCTGCACGAAGCAACGGGCCACTGATGCGGGGCCTCAACGTCGGAGGTGCTATGTCGTCGAATGTGGTGTGTTGTTGGAGAAGAGAAAAGGAAAATGATGAGAAAGAAAGTGGAAAATGATTTAGAGTTTGGGATGGGTTGTAGAGTAGAATGGGATGTGTAGCTCAATTTAAATTGAGTACGGTGAGTGTTTTGGTGGGTAGTGAATTTGTAGATTACTTAATTTTATAATACTATTATATTATTTAAAAATTATATTATTATTATTTAAAAATTGAATACGGTGAGTGTTTTGGTGGGTAGTGAATTTGTAGATTACTTAATTTTATAATACTATTATTATTATTTAAAAATTATATTATCATATGAGTTTTTGTATAAAAATACTTTAAATCTTAATTGTGAAATTGAAACTTAAAAAATCTGAATGAGATGAATAATGCTATTTGTAGTCGCTTATTATTGCAGTCGCACTACATGATATACATGTTGCGGTTAATGATTTGTTATATAAGGTAATAAAAAACTACCACATTCGTATATTAAATCACTAACCGACACATGTATGTCACATATAATAACTACAGTAACGAGCGATTGCAAATAGCATTACTCAATTTTCACTAATGCTATTCAAACAGGATTGCAAATAGGTGCTTTGACACTCAGCACCTACATGGATAACTTCATTTTATTTTTATTTTTGTCAAACTATTCAACAATGCTGGACCATGTGTTCCCCGATTTTAAACCCTATCTGGTCTGTTCGTGTAGCATGTTATGAAACGGCTTTGTCAGCCCCAAAGTTCCAACACCCGGGAGTTGGGTGGATTTTCCTCCGCTTCCCCACACTGTCTCGCGTACTTTCCCCATCACTCTTCAATTAAAATCATACGCCACAATTAATTGAAATACGGAAAATTTTGTTAAACCCACAAAACTTCAAAACCAGCACCCCCAACCCCCTCAACCGCTTCCCTTAAGAAAAAAACCCCCCAAATTAACAACGTAACGTCGAGAAGATTCGAGTTCGATGCGCTCTTGTTGGTCGGTGCCGGCCAATGGTGCGGCGGAGGAATTATTCCGTTTATGAGAATGGTGCAGATGACGTGGCAGCGTAGCTTGCTGAAGAGGAAGTCACCTTTAGGGCTCAAAAATCTCGGTAACAGCTGCTACCTCAATTCGGTGCTCCAGTGCCTCACCTATACTCCTCCCCTCGCTAATTTCTGCCTCAGATTCCTCCATTCCTCCAACTGTAAGCCTCCTATTTTATTTCTATTTACTCATTTGTTTATTTACCTTATAAATTACTCAATTCGCATACAACAATTGTATCAGTATGTTATTTATTCTGCCTAATAACTCTGCTCTCTCGCCTTTATATGTGCTTAATTGTGTCTATAATATATTTATTTATGGTTTATGGCTAATCTTATGCACACACATGGTTGTATTGAATGGATGCTCTTACTATATAATATTTAATCTGGAATAAATAGAGTTGATTCTTCTGAAAATGATATCATTTCAGGGCCAGAAATTGATATTTCTGATAGGAAATAGTTGATACGATTTGAAAATAAATGCTTTTTAATATTTTTATGGGAAGTATTATATTAATTCATTTCTTGATTTTTTTTCTTCATATGAGAGTTGTTGTCAATATGATCTTATCTTATTCATACTTTTTTATAGGTGATGTGGGGGCATCGAAGGAGAAGAAGAGCGAGTGTCCATTTTGCATATTAGAAAAAAGGATTGTACGCTCATTGAGCATTGAAGCAGCATTAGATACACCTTTAAAAATCAACAGTTGTTTGAGGATATTTGCGGAGCATTTTAGGGTGGGGAAACAAGAGGATGCACATGAATTTTTGCGCTATGCGCTTGATGCTTGTCATAGTACATGTTTGAGGTTGAAGAAGTTACAACACCAGAGGAGGAAGGATGGGGTTGATAATGGAGGAAACTGTGGTGGGAGTGGCAATACGGTGGTTAAGGAGATATTTGGTGGGGCTATTCAAAGCCAAGTGAAATGTTTATCGTGTGGGTCAGAGTCAAATAAGGTGGATGACATTATGGACATTAGTCTTGATGTTTTGCACAGTGGCTCACTTAAAGATGCTTTACAAAGGTTTTTTCAGCCTGAGGTCCTGGATGGCAACAATAAATACCAGTGTGACAAGTAAGCATTTCAAACTCTTTACCAAACATGTACAAACGCTCACATGCATATATCCACAAACATGTACACACGCTCGCCTGCATGTGAACACACATGCACATTGTGTTATCCACACATTTATGTCTACATGAATACCACACGATTCAAACGCTATGGATCCCTACAGAAGCATTAACACGTAGAAATATGTGCACATGGTGTTCTCTAGGCACCCATATTTTTGAAAGTTTTGCTTATGTATACTGATGGAAAACTTGTGCTTGTTTAGTTGTAAGAAATTGGTGGCAGCAAGGAAACAAATGTCAATTCTTCAGGCACCAAATGTGCTTGTAATCCAATTCAAGGTTTGGCAATCATTGAATTGTACTTTGTTTATACTCTGATTTTAGATGCTCTTAAATTCTGATAAATGCAATGTTTTGGGCTTTTTACAGAGATTTGAGAGCATGTTTGGTGGGAAGATAGATAAACCCATTGCATTTGAGGAGACTCTAGTGCTTTCAAATTACGTGTGCAAAGCAAGCCAGGTAAGTTGTGCAATGATTGTGGATGTAAAATAGTTCTTAATTTCATTGGTGGTGTCCTTTTATCCCCAAGAGAAACATAGATAAACACGTACTTATTTAGAGGGTGTTTGGTGAGGATTAAAATTAGATTTTTTAATAGATTGTGATAGAAGTTTTTGAAATTTGCGGTTTAAAAGTTGTGGGACCCATAAAAGATGTGGTTAATATTGATTGTTTGACTTTGACTTAGATTAAAATAAGATTTTAATTCAAATCAAACAGGGGCTTAGATAGAAACAGAAGTATGCTAGAAATCTTCCTCCTAATTGTACTTCTCATTATTGTTCCTACACTTCCCCCCGTTCTCAGTGTCTTCATACACATGTTCATTCTACTCCCACCTAATTGTATCTCTCATCGTCATGTCCAAGCCCCTCCCAATCTCAAGACATGGCTTTCTCCTTCTATACCTCAATCTGATCTATTAACGACCGTGCTTTTTCCCTAAACTCTGTAGTTGGCTTTCTGCTTGCATCAACTCTGATACTCCTGGTTTATGTTAAAATATTGTGGTTTCTTGCATGTACCCGTAGAAGTTCTTCCCAATGGCTCTCAAAGTGGTTTTTTTTCAAACTGGTTTTCTTCACATCATTGTCCTGTTATTTTGTACTTTTTAATGTGGTTCTCAGTGTCTTCATCCACATGTTCATTCTACTCCCACCTAATTGTATCTCTCATCGTCATGTCCAAGCCCCTCCCAATCTCAAGACATGGCTTTCTCCTTCTATACCTCAATCTGATCTATTAACGACCGTGCTTTTTCCCTAAACTCTGTAGTCGGCTTTCTGCTTGCATCAACTCTGATACTCCTGGTTTATGTTAAAATATTGTGGTTTCTTGCATGTACCCGTAGAATTTCTTCCCAATGGCTCTCAAAGTGGTTTTTTTTCAAACTGGTTTTCTTCACATCATTGTCCTGTTATTTTGTACTTTTTAATGTGTTTTACCCTTTTAATTTTCTGAGGCAAGCCTAGTGAAGTAAAAGTGAATTTCTTGAATCAGAGTAAATTATTATAAAAACTATAATTGGCCTGCAATCTGCTCTTCATATTTCTGTTGAATTTACATTGTTAAACCATCTAGGAGTTGTGTATTCTAACCATTCTCTATATTGCTGCAGCTAGGTGTCTTTGAATTTCATGTGCCATATTTGTCGATGTAGAATTATATCTTGTTTGGAAATTTGGAATGCATTTGTACTGGTTGTCACTTACTTTACACTGCTAGTCATTGAAAATTGTAGCAAGATATGTTTAATAGCGATGTTAAAGAGTTTTATCTGGATTGCATTCCTTATCATATCATGCATGATAATATGACTATTAAGTGGAATTCAACATGTGGTTTGACTTTTATATTTAATTGGATGTTGCAGGATCCACATCCAGAGTACAATCTTTTCGGCACCATTGTACATTCAGGCTTTTCACCCGATTCTGGGCATTATTATGCATATATAAAGGTCTTGTCCAACTCGTTTGTGTTAAATTGTGTATTTTTTTTCATGTTTAGTTCACATCAAATAGCTATACTGTCATGGGCTGATTTCAGTTTTCTACGTTTCAGGATGCATTGGGCCATTGGTACTGCTGCAATGATTCTTATGTCTCACACTCTACGTTGAGGGAGGTTTTGTCAGAAAAGGTCTATATCCTTTTCTTCTCTCGTATAAAACCAAGGCCACGATCTTCCAACAATGATTTGGCAGCCAATGGATTAATTCCCCACGAGTCCAATGGCAGTAATCCTACCTTGAACCAGAAGTCAGGTTATTTACAGAGACCAGCGGGTACAAAACAATTCTCTCACTGCCATATTGAGGCAAATATTTCTACCAAATCCATTGAGACCAATGGCCATGACACATCAATAATCCAAAAGTCTGGCTGTTCAGTGACGCCACTGAGTACGAAACAAGATTCCAACCACATTTCCATGACAAATAATTCAATCTCATTTAAGGTCGATAAAGGGCATTCTAGTCTAGAAAGGGAGTTTGGCGTCTTTGAGAAATCGAGTCCTGCCAAGGGGAATATGAAAATTGTTGTTCATAAGAGAGAATCCAATGGAAAAACTTGCAATGCTGCACCATCATTAACTTTGATGGAAAAAGATATAAAGGTGGTGTCCTTAACTGAGAGGAATGGTGTAAGCAAAAGTAAGTCAATAGGATCAGTTCACGTTGATAAGAATGGATCCTCTCCCATGACAAGCAGTAATGGAATTATTAGGAGTATGGAACATGATACCTTAGATGGAAGTCTTTGTGGAGTCAATGGCACGAAAACCATGCTTGCATCAGCAAGAAATCTAGATTTCCAGGATTTGCAGAATGGTTGTAGAATAAACACCTCTAACAACTCTAGACTGAAGCGGAAAAAGCGGAGTGATCTGTGCATTTTGTTGGCCAAAGACGCTAAATCATGCGCAGAAGTGGAAGCATTCAAGGAATTGTATGTTACTTTGGTTTATGAAGCTTTTAATTTCTTCTCCCACATGTGAATGTTTTTGGATGTCATCAAGGGAATGATTGAAATTTGGACATATTTTTAACTTCTTTTACTCCAGAAGGCATTTAATATTGCATCCGTTGTATAAGTAGTTTACAGTAGTGGGCCAAAGAGGGGTAATTATCTTTTCATAGATCTAAAAATGAGTGCTGCTTTAGCCAGCAAGCTAATTCTATTATTACCTGTTTGTATTACTTTATTTCGACTAGCTGATCTAGAGGTGCAGAGTGAAACAGTTCTCCTAGGCCTGGCGTCTTTTTAAAATTTGTTTACATTCATCGTTGAATAGCAACTTTTTTTTTTCTCCTTCCAGTACCAGCTACCTTTTGTTATAGAATTTCTCTCTCTTGCTTCATAATTAATCATTCGTTTGTAGTGAACAATATTCTCTCTTATAATCTTGTGAGACACGGAATCCTTTCTTATATAGTCTCTCTTCTTGTGGCCATGATTCTTTCATCTAAGCTTTGACATTGGTTTATTCCTGAGATAAGTTCGTTTCTTCCGAAAAATTCCACTCTATTTTCATTGAGAAAATTACACTCTCGGACCCAACCTTTGTGTCATGTAGCACCTGGATCCCCAGCCTTCCACTATAGGCTAGGTCTGGTGTGAACTTCATCGTTGTGAAATAACTCTCATGGGAAGTTAGCATATGTATGGCTGTATAGTTTGAAAGGGTTTCTATATTCCGATAAAAAGTGAAGAACGTCATTTTACGGATTTATTTTGTGGCTTGATTGTGGAATGCTTTGCTTCTTGCTATAAGTACTGATAATATTTTAAATGGACACCGCTCCTTTTATTCTTTAACAAAATGGCCACTAATTATTACTTTTGTTGTCTTTCAGAATTGGGAAAGAAGCTTCCTTCTTTCTGCGATCATGTGGTTGGTCTGATGAAGTTTATAAATTCATGCATTTGAGCAAAAAGCTGTGTGCACAAGCAGCTGGCAGTGAGACATTAAATGACCATGAGAAGAAGTAAGTTTTTGCTTTTTTGACACTGTTTATCTTTGGAGTTTGTTAATTTTTGTGCAAAGTAGCATTTGATGTATTGCGCCTTAGTATAATTATAATTGTTCTGGTTTTTAATTGGCATGGACATAGTAATATATTGCTAACAACTATTCTCGATCCTCGTGGTTGCAAAATTACAGGATCCGTAATTGTTGGACTTTTTTATGTAGTTTGAAATTATTGATTAAAAGAAAAATCATCGTTTAGTTGAGATAATTGATAGAAGTAATCAGCATCCAATCATCTGATATTAGTTTTTTGAATTTATAAAATATTCATATTGACTAACATCACATGGGAAATGATTCTATCAGCCTCGAGATCAGGTCTGTTTAAATGTGAATTATTAGCTTCTCAGTAAACCAATTGACAAGTATCATTTTTATAATGACAGTTCATTGATTACCTTCTGCTGCTTCTTAATATCCTATATTCTGCACTTTCTGTATATTTTCTTCTCTCTATGCAGGTTCGTTAGTATTGCTTCTCTACATCTGTGGTCTTATTTGCCAGGAAGCTTAAAATTATTTTTTTCTTTTCAGTTGTATTCTCAAATGGTGAATATTCTCGAGTGAAGATTATTTATTTTACTGAAGATGGTTGAATGGTAATATATTGCTATTTGCTTGAATGTTGTATCTTGTTACTTGAGGTGATGCAGAACTAGAAAGAGAGAGAGAGAGAGAAGACAGAGGAGGAGGAGAAGAAGAAGAAGAAAGAGAGAATAAGAGAGAAACGGAGAGGAGACAAAGAGGGGAGAAGAAAGAAAATTTGGGGGGGAATATCTTGATATAATCTCTTCCCTTTTATTGAGAGAACCTAAATTCACTTCTAGTTAACATCAACTTTCCAAAATATCAAAATTTATTTAGCCCCTGTTTGGCCCCCATTCTCCTTCTCATTCTTTCTCTCTTATTTTCAACCACACAATCTTCCATAAAATAATATTACACGCAAATAAAAAAACTTTTCATTCTTTTTCAACCACATTTTTCAAAAAATATTATTCCAACCATTAAAATTTGGAAAAAATGGGGGCCAAACGGGGGCTTAATCTTATCTTCCTAAGATATATATCTAACCATAGTAGGCTTTAACTAGGTTTTGTTATTCTTTAAAATCCCCATCATTTGTCTCTTGTAGAGAGTACTTGATTCCAATGAGTTATACCTTAAAGAGCTTTCTAAGGGGAAAGATGTTTCTGGTTCACCAATCATTGCCATTGACCACCTGATGGCAATGTGGTGCGCACTTTCCGTAAAATATGAGTGGAACTATAGAAAGGCTGCAACACAATGTACTAGATTATCGAGATGGCATGCAGGAACAAATGAATGCAACATCAAAACCTTGAATGTGTGTTGATGAGAAAATGATTCTACCATATTGAAAATACAAATTTTATTCAAGTGATGTCAAGTCAAAGAGAGAAGAATTAATGATTCTCAGGAGAAGTATGCTGATTTATGTCCGTTATGTGCTTCAACAATAAGATATATTTTTCATCATTTAAAATAGCCCTTTTTTAATTTCTGGATGAGAATTATGAATATGACCTAAAAACATTTTGAGCTCAATCAATTTCTTTAATGGCTAACAAAATGCTACGAGCGAACAAGTAGGGAGAAAAGTAATTTAGTATCCAAATTTCTTTGCAATATGGATTAATATGACTTCTTAAGTTACTCAAGTCTTGACAATGAACTTAATTGATAGTTCAGATGTTACCCACAACACGACATGACACTAGCATTGGTAAAGGCATTTACATCGCATTCTTCAATTTGAAAGCAGACAAAGCAACCTAGGACAAAAGGACCACAGCGATGCCACCGCTCCTGAACTTCACAATGAAGATTGACTTGCCATTGATAACCTGATGCGGACATCCATTTATTATTTATTTTCTATTTGGACTATTAGTTATATTTTATTTGGACTATTGTTTATGTTTTCGTTATTGGGCTTGTTTAGTAGGTTTGGCCCAAGCCCTTCTCTTTAGGGTTTGTGTTTTGCTATTTATTTTTGTTTTGTTTCTCATTTGAGACAGTTGATGATGAATTAGAATTGAAATATTTTTGGTGGCTTGCAGCCGTTTTCTCCCTCCCCTCTCTTCCCCTGGTTTCT